CCGGACGACGGCAGAAAGCAAGGTTGACTTTTCCCAGCACGCCGGGATTTTGCTCGAACCAGTCGAATCAGGGAACAGGGCGTCAGAGTACTCCCAGGTAGTATCTGGCTCCTGTGGTCCTTTTACTCCTGGAATATTGCCGAGCACGAGGTCGTACAAAGGGTTAGTCATGCATAAAGCGTTTACATCACCAACGAAGTAGGGCGTGTGTATCTGTATGTTTGCTTCTGGTAGTTCCTTGGCCTTTCCATCCAAAAGCATAACTCTTGCCATCTTCCCGGTCAGGCATTGATCCGGCACGAACTCGCGTCGGACGATGGTCGTGTTGCTCCCTGTGTCTCGTAAGACACGTGCGCGTTGTCCAAGCACCCGTCCTTCGACCACTGGCATGTTGTCGACTAAGAACATAGGTTGGTTCTCGCACTTCTTGGGGCATTCAGCAGCGCATGTCTCATCCTTGGACTTGGACATAGGGAAGTAATCCTGTTTTTTTCTGTTCTATCATGGCACAAGACACCGACTTGTCTTTGCTCTGATCCTTGCAATCGGTGGCTTTGTGGCCAAGCCGCCCACATGTTTTGCATTTCACAGACTCTTTCGGAACCGCACGACAATCCGGAGCGCTATGTCCTTTGCGGTGACACAGAAAGCAACTCGGCTGTTTGTACTGTGACATAGCACCGGGTTTATTTGCCTCCTTTGTATCATCTGCAATTTTACCAATGTTATTGACCCCCTGTGCTTCGAGAAAGCGGTCGGTGCACTCTGAAAGGGATGTAAGGGTTTTGCATTCCCTCTCTTTCAGGAAGATGACCAGCTTCGGATTACAGCAACGCAAGAATTGCTCGGCTATAACATGGTAACGAAGACCCTCAAATGTTTTGGGCACATCAGCCATCTCAATCCAGTTATCAAAATAGCTCGAGATCCTTGCTGCTAGTTGTTTCCCTGTTTCGCCATCTTCAGGCCGGGCTTTCCGAAATTTGTCTTTATATCCTTGTGCCGTGAATCTGAAGCGCTGAAGTAGGGCTTTTTTCACTTTATCATAGTCGAGGGCCTCGTCAGCAGTCATTCGACCAATGACAGTGAGTGCCTCACCAGTTAAGCACATGCTTACGGCTACTCCCCATTTCTCTCTTGGCCATTCTTGCCCAGTAGCCACGCGTTCAAACCTCTGCAAATACGCCTGCAGGTCATCGCGTCGCTCGTCAAATAGCGGTAGTAACTTCTGCGGATTCAGGCATGACGGCTTTGCCGATGGGGCGAGTGCTGCCGTCGCAGATGGCTGACTTTGAGCACTTTCCTGAAGCTGGAGCTTAAGTTGGTGGATTTGCAGCTGCCTCTCGTCTGCTAACCGTTGCCTCTCGTCCGCTAACCATTGTCTCTCGGCTGCTTTTTTGGCCTCTTCTCTCTCAGCTGCGCGCTCATCTCTCTGCCTAACTTGCTCTCGCTCAATCCATTCGCGAAGTTCCGCGCCAGACAAGCCTAACTGAGCTGCTACAGCCGCTAACTTATCGTGATCCATGTCTCTCGTCTTGTGCTGTGTGCACACACCTGACTGGCGATTTCCGCGTTCGAGATGTTACTGGCGGGATCCTGGCAGGGCTCACCAAGTTTGTTATGGTGTAATGTGGGCCCAGGATCCGGAATAAATCAACCGGCAGTCAGGTGACTCTGTACACACAACACAGACTTTAACACAACCGATAACTCTTACAATTCACACACAACACACTATAGCGTTGCTTATTTACATGCCAAACGTCCTACGCGCCTCGGCACACGAACTGTCCTATTCGCCGTTATGACTGCTGCCGCTGCGGCGAGGTCGGTCGTCACCGGTGTTCCTTGTGCAGTCACGCTGCCTTGACCGTGGTGAGGTGGTGGTGGTGGTGGTGATGGTGGTGCTGCAGGCCGGTAGATCACCAGGCCACTGCAGTGCAGGTTAATGGCCCGTCGCCATAATGAGCCGCGGCCACCTCGTGCCACCACTCGGGCCCCAGGACCTCAGGCCACGAACAGACTATGCTGCCGGTCCCCGTGTCAGCGCCGTCCACAGAGCGGGAAGCCAGCTCACCAGGTCCGCAAGGCTGCCGGACACCTGGTTGAGTGACGCAGCCCGAAGCAGGAAGCCAGCTCACCAGGTCCGCAAGGCTGCTGGACGCCTGGTTAAGCGATGTCGCGACCCGAACCGCCGACCAGCAGCTGCCGTTCGAACTGTGTCACGCTCCAACTGCCCGAGCCGCACGCCCCGCTCGCGCTTCCTTTTCCTCGTCTTCGCCTCCAAGGCGTACCGCAGAGCAAAACTGCCGTTCCCTCTTCGCCCCGTCACGGGCCACACAATCTACATCATCACAGCCAATAATCACGTTTAACATGACTGCATTTGTGTTCGCGGGGGTTCCGGCAGAATGCAGTTATGCTGGGACTAGGTGCGCGCTGCTCGTCGCCTCCACGGCCCTTGGTTGTCATTCACGATCGCAGGGCTAGTGATGACGAGCGTTAGTTTTGTTTTGAGCACGATGTCAATACCATATGGCGAGGGTTCTTGAAGATTGTGATTCTGCCGCAGCCTGCACGAACATCAAATCTACCGATAGCATCATGGTGGAGGGGTGTGCTGTCACTGAGCAACTCAATGGTGATAAATTTAGCGTGATGTGTGTGTGGTACCAGAAAGCTTGTATCCGGGGAAAACACTGTTGTTTCGATATGACTGTGCTCTCTGGATGTCACGAGCCGTGGAGAAATGGCCGAGTTGGTATTGGAATTTCATGGCGATTTGAGGAAAAATTTTTTTTTGTGTGGGTTAGTACTCGCAAAAACTTTGTTCAAGCGGAAATGTCCAGGAAAACTATTTGTAATAACGAGACATTTTTAACCTTGTTTTCTATAGGCAGCTAACAGGGAATCAAAAATCATTTGTTGTGGTGGAAATTTCGTTGTAGTGAAATTTGTTACTGCGGGATTAGACTGTATACATGACATATTATAAAGAAAAAGGGGTATATTTGTCATGACTCAACTAACATTCACAATAGTTTTTTAAAAGTATGATCAAGGCCTGTGATAATGCCATTTTTTTGCATCAAAGGAAATAGAAGCAACTTTGAATAGTAGCAGGATTTGACCTTTAGTAGAATGCTAGTGATAGTCTGTGAAATATGTGAAGTTTTAAAATTTACTATACTTACTGCATATAAGTCGGTATAACGTGCTTTTAAACGGAAAAAATGAATCTATGTGAGGGTAATATGTTCATCTAACATTGAAGTAGAGTTTCACAGCAGTGCGTATTTCTTCTGGTTATGTGCTTTTATAGCTTAGTGTTGCTCCACTGCAATAAAACCACTTTCACAGTGTGTGCATGCAAAATACGCATCTATTTGTTTGTCTCAAATAATTTGAAATTTTCTCAAATTAAAAATCAATTCAAAGCAAATTTTTTTAGGGTAACAGCACAAAAGATGAGGACAACAGAGACACACACACAGCAGATGACCCTGTGCCTCCGCTATCCACGTCTTTCGTGCTGTTACCCAAAGATATGTATGTTTAAACGAACTAGCCAACAAATTGAACCTTTGAATACTGCATTATTTGTTTGAATATTTGAAGCATTCGAATAATTGCACTAGCCTAGAAATGGGAAGGTCACGCGCAGAATGGCCGGTTGATCGAAACGTGCCCCGCATTTCTCACGCACAAATGACGCATGAAACGTACTCTCAGGTACAGATTAATGCAAATAAGCGTCTAAGTTGTAACTTCATCGCACCCATTCCTTGCAACATGCACCCTGCGCACAACGTCGGTGGACGTAGGGCCAGGGGTAGAGCTCTGCTCGAGCACGTCCGTAGCAACACCACTGATGCAAGCTTTATGGATGCTGGGCCATATGTCTTAGAAGAGGCATTCGCTGTTTCCATCATCGAATTAAATTCCAGGCTCACTTTCTCCGCCACGGTACACACATCGAAGCCCGTGATAGCCGAACAGGTTGCAATCGCGCTGGCTATGCTAGATAATCGCAGAGAGTCAACATACAGCGACTCCAAGGCGGCTATCAAAGCCTACGAAACCGGGATGGTAGGCCCTCAGTCCCCCCGGGTGGCATTCTCCAAAGCGTCAAGAGTATCACGTTCCATTCTCTCACTTGGTTTTCCGCTCACCTGGGTTCGATTGAGGGCTCTACCTCTAACACGAACGAGGGCGCACACAAGGCCGCACAAGGGCTCACTGACCGCGCTGCCTCCGCAGTCCCTCTGCCTCGCTGGGAACCCTTACTTACGTTCAACGAAATAACAAAGCACTTCTATCTGTCAAGAAGGGTATTTCTCCTCCCACATCCTGCCTCGCGCAGGGCGCAGGCAGTTACTCTTAGAATATTGCAAGCCAGTGCGTATTCTAACCCTATGCTTCTTCATGCCATGTACCCTGAATGGTATCCAAGTGCGGATTGCCCCGCCTGTGGACAGGTAGCAACATTCAACCATGTGTTGTGAGAATGTGAAGCCATCGGTCCCCGCCCTCAGCGAGGTCAGGTGGGCTGCGCTTTTACGCAGCCCCAAGCTTAATGATCAAATCCTGGCCGTCCAGAATGCCCGTGAACAGGCTTCCAAGCTCGGCTTGGCGGTCCCTACGTGGGATTAGCCGGGTGGCGCGGGGTCTCCCCTGCGTCTTCTCAGGACCAAAATAAAGTTTTAATCAAGCAATAAATCAGCCTAGTGAACAGGCATGCACAGCAGAAGCAAGAAAGCAGCTTTGCTTGTATTCCATCTCTATTGTAGCGTTGTGGCCCCACAAATTTTTTTTTCTCTTATCAGATTATTTCTGCCACTAATTCTGGTAGGGAAAAACTGCTATTCTGTGCATTCGATGCATTCGGCAGTACTTTTTTTTACATCACTTGAAGTTAGAGGATGCACAATAAAGGACGCGAAAGGAATTGCCTTTATTATTCTAAACACATGATTTCCCAATGCAATGTTTGTTTTCAGGATGGCATCGATGACATAGGTGCATCACGGCTGCTGGGCACGACCAAGGGTAACCACGTGGACCTTGACAGTGAAGACCAGTGGGCCTGCGAAAACCTTTCATCACCCAGTTTGGCCTCTTCTCAAAGCTCCTCGAGTGGTGATGAATTTGCCGAGCCTGTTTTCTCTGACATGGGTGAGCATGTTGCACGAAGAAATAATTTGAAGGGTCTCTGTGGCGTTTTGTGAACATAAGTGGTAAAGACTGCTGATCAGTAATCAAGGCTTCTGCGAACATGAGAGTCGCATGTTAATGCACTTCACGCAGCAGGGAATCTGCCGTTTTTTTTTTGAGAAACTGCAGCAATTAGCTTTCCTTTTTTGGTACTGGCAGGTGCTCACAGGAAGAAGCGAATAGACACTGAGGAAAGGAGATATAACTTGAGGTGACGAAATCAACTAGTTCGTGAAGGTGAAATAGAATCAGCTCTGACATGATAAGGTCAAGATAGACCACCACCTTTTTGGAGCCTGAAACCTCAAGGAATCCTGCGAAATCCTGCGAGGGATTTCACAGAACTCACTTGCAATACTGTGCAATCACGTAGTTCAAGGTGTCAATGATTCTCTCCTTGCTGTGTATTGCGAGGTTCCTGGTTAGCTCACTTGATAGAGCAACTGTCCCAGAAAGGTGTTGGTCTCGAGTTTAAACCCCGAATCAGGACGAAATTGTCCGAAACTAAGAAGCTTTTCTTTCTGAGAAACTTGGTTGGATTTTCTTATGGCTTCGTGCTGCAAACCGGTGTTCGTCTATTTTTTCTTTCTTAAATTCCAGATCATTCGAAATATGTCATGCACTGGACGTAAACATTGGCTGAACATGATGATGCCGATGAAAAACCTTCATGTGCATAGAATAGAGTTCATACATTCATACATTATAGACATACTTACTTGTCTCTTGTTGGCTTATTTTCACAAGTTTCAAAATGTTAGTATTTATGACCAGTGCGAGGAACCTCTCACATTGAAAGTTTCTGAAATGCTCTTATCGTTTGTGTACCGCAAAATACCAGTTAAGCACCTTTCTCAGTATGGGTAACTACTGGGAAGGTTGGGCACGGCACTCTTGCTCAGAACTGCCCCGAAATTCCATATGCTGGCCTAAAGTATCCACCCCTTTCCCCTCACCAAAAAGAAAAAAAAAGTTCAGCACACTGGAACTAAAATGCTTTACTAAAGCACATTTTTTCTAATCACTATCATAGCCATCAAGTGTCTCTTATAAGTTAGAATCGAAATCAAGACCTAATCACTCTCTTTGCAAGCCTTTGCGAAGTTACGGTACAGCAGTGATGTGTCAGAGGCAGTCAAGGAGCGATTAGATGCTAATATTACAGGGCTTGGAACATGCGCACTGACACAGCAGGCTGACGCACATCACCTTTCTACAACAGATGTGTGTGTGTCTGTACCACGACCTGCTACAGAGTAAAAACTGACACCATTTCTAGGCTTGTGTGAATATTTGAATACTTTGAATATTTGAAAAAAATATTCAGTTAGAAAGAATTCGGTTCGATTCAAAGTGGCATTGTTGAAAATTTCTATATTCGATAGACCACGAAATTTCGATAGACCACGCAAGGTTGCCTCGGACCAAGGCTGGAGGATGCCCGGGGCATGGTATCGATGTAGTGCAGTACGTCTGGCTCCTGTTTGTACAACTGCCGTAAGCATGCCGATATCGTCGACACGGACTTGTACCATAGGAAGCAGCCACGTTGGGTATTGGGCAGCTCGATGTCGTGCATGTGTTGGTGCCACGTTGCCGATCCAGTTTCCGAACATCGGCGAGAGATTGTTTTTCTGGACTGGATGGGAAAACCAGCCGAATCCGGTATTCATGTACAGCATGTATTCCGAACGTCTTGTCAGTGAGCTGCGCTGTTTAGCTGCAGCCTCGAGGTTGAGCCCCTCCTTTGTTTCATCGTCGGTGGTCGTCTGGTTGGGCAGGCATGTGCCATGATGAATCTGGCCGAAAACGGCGATAAGCCTTGCACTCCATTCCAGCCAGGTCAGATGCTTTATGCCCTCGCATTTGTGCCACGCCTCAGCACTACCACGAAGGTGGGCGATGGCCACCTGCCATTTATAATTTTCGGGCTAGGTGTGCCGAGAAGCGAGGGTATTGATAGTCGACACCCACATATCAGCGTCATCTTGGAAGCCTCGGAACCACGGTACTTCTGAAAGAGCAGTATATGGGGAGGCGGCAGGCCAGGCCCCGGAGCTCAACGACGCGAAGCGGTCGATCGGGTTTGACAGCTGCGTGAGAGTACAGAAGAGCTGATAGACAAGAAATCACGTCCGCACAGTATGCGGTGGTCGTAGCACTTACTGAGAGAAGATGCACGGTCAAGGGAGCATGGACAGCGTCCCCTGGTGACTCAGATGAAGGTAGAAACCTTGTTGCATGTTCCACTCCTTGGGAAGTGTGAACCGCATTCCCAGGAAGGAGCCCATACGCATTGGCGTGAAGTTGCACGCTGGTGGTCAAGTAGTTCTTTGGGACCATCATGGAGGCTTGGACGTTGTCCGCTGGTGGTGGGATGAATATTTGCGGCAGGTGGTCGACTTGCGGGTTTAAACCATCAATGAGGAAGCCTGGCAGTGTTCCTCAGGAACTTGCGTTACCTCATGCTAGCAGCTGCGGTTTGCCAAGCTTTCTGATGACTGCGCCATTGTAAAAGAATGAGACAGAGACAATGCCTTTGCTGCAGGCCGGTTGTTCTTTATCTGATCTCGTCTTTCTTCACTTTGCTATCATAGCATACGTCCGTGCCCAAGTGCCGTTATTGTCATGATTACATGGTACGCACTAGCCTGCTACAGGGTCCCTTTCTAGTGAGGAAAATTCGTGTGTGTTACCACAATGGCTAGGGATTATGTGCAAACAACTGTAGACAGCCTTGTTCGTATGTAGGAAACGACCTGCCCGAACAGGATCCTCTGTTCCCATCCCCAGGCACAGTCGCCTCTTCCCGGTGTGCACTGCCGTTTATTGTAGATCTTCCACCTTACTGATCGTGTCGCTAAGGTCCACTACCTCGTCGATACTGGCGCTGACATCTGCGTCCTTGTTCCTATGCTGACTGAACGACACCATTCTCCTGATCTGCCTCCTCTCACTGTTGTCAACAGATTGACTATCGGGACATATGGTCCGGAGAGGAGGATGGGCATACGGTCTGGAGCTCGTAGGAGAGGAGGATGTCACGCTTGGCCCAAAGGGAAATAGCGCTGCGTTGTGACGTAGGCCTGCGCAGCGCGCCAGCGTAGCGTGCCCGGACATGCCAGCGTGGGAAAGAGCTGACGGTTGACTGGCCCAGACCAAGAGGTGCCCTGGCAGCCATCTTGGCGGATGCCGGTGCTTATGCGCGCCCGGGCTACGCCGTCGGCGTGCGCGCGGCAGCTGGGGAACGAGGCGCCACGTAAGAAGGAGGGCGCGCTCGATTCCCACATCCCCCCTCCCAAGAGTGAGGCCGCTTTAAAGACGCCATAATAAAAGCATCCACCGACACCTTTATTCGAAATAACTGAGGTCCAGCTCAGTGCCGTCCACAAGATCGACGGGGGCCCCGGTGTCTTCGTTCGGTGGCGTCTCAGCAGGAACCAGGGGCCGCAGGAGGGCAGCAGACGCCGCGGCAGCGATGGCTGACTTGAATGATGAGTCCATGACGAGCGCCGCCACGACCGCCTGAGCGGAGTCGGTCGACAGGGCAGGTTGAAGGCCCGGGCCAGGCGGCACCGCCGAAGTGGACAGGATCGCAGGGGCACTACCAGACTTCGTTCAGTGAACCCGCGAACGGAGGTGGGTAGCCTCGTGCACCAGCAGGACACCGCAAACGTCGCAGTAGGAGGCCTCGGGAACAGGCGGCATCGAGGCACCTCCGGAAGCGTCAAGCAGGTCTGAAAGGGTGCGCCTGCGGAAAGGACACAGGACGGACTTGGGGTCTAACCCCACCCAGACTTTGCGTTGCTTGGACCAGCGACGAGTCGACATGAAGGGGACCGGGGCCTCGGTGCCTTGTTGGAACGTCCACGTAGCGACTTCACGACGAGGCGATGTCTTGTTAGCCGGGCCCGGGGGAGCATTCGACGGAGGCGGCATTGACGCGGCCGATGCCTGCGGAATGACCGAGCGTGCAGCTGGTCTCCCGGGTTTTTTTTTTGGAAGAACGGGTCATCGAGGAGGACATAACGAAAGCTGGGGTGTCGGTGAAAAGCCGAAACGCAACTAAAGGTGTGGCCCCGGAGGCGCGACAGGCTGGCCCAATAAAGAAAGCCTACTCCATTGGATTGAAGCTTGCATCAGCCAATAGGGTGCACGCTTCCCTTCTCCCGCCGACTACGCGGAAGATACCCAGTGAGAGAGTGAGCCACCGGGGAAAGGACTTTTCTCTCTCGAGCAGCCGGGAACGCTAGGAACTGGGTGGATATTCCGCACGCAGTGTGTGTAATGGTGTTCCCAGGGAGAAAGCTCGCCAGGTAGCCGTTACTGTTGCTGCTGGATAGGCTCTCGCACAACAGCTATAAATCTTCGCTCCATTACATGGAGGGGATGACGTCCCGCTACATGACGGGGGCGAAAATCAGCCTAAGTGCGTTTTTGCAGGTTGTACCGGTGGCGTAGTTTGGAACCAGCCTTATACCGGTTTCCCTGCGGTTCGGGGACCGCCCCCCTTCCCCGAAGTCCTTGCTGTGGGCAACGAAAGGTTTGAAGTTGGAGACGTTAACTGGATCGCCGACTGGTCTCTCTTGGGAGTCAGCCAGCTTGTATACCAGGGGCGACACTTTGGTGTGCACTCGGTATGGGCCCAACCATTTGGCGGAAAGGGAGGCCGAGATGCCTTTGGCGGCGTCACTCAAGACGTGATTGCGTCTGAGGACGAGATCGCCGACATTGTAACGGTCATCCCGATGCGACCGGTCGTATTGAGCCTTCTGACCAGCTCGCACTTTTGCCAGGTTGGAACGCGCCATGTCGAGGGCCGCGTCCATCTGTGAGCGAAGTTCCGCCGCGTAGCCAGACGGGCTCACCTTCACGGCGCTTGCCCCGCCACCGCCCCGTAAGACGCGGTCCATGAGGTTAAGCAGCTCTCTCCCAAAGTTTAGGAAGGCGAGCGATTGACC